CCCCAAAACCCCAAAACCCCAAAACCCCAAAACCCCAAAACCCCATTAGTTATATTTAATATAGAATATTCTTAAATGGAGCTTGAAGTAAGTTCAGAGGCGATCTTTGGCCTCAAAAGTCCAGAAACAGCCTGATCTGGATATAACAAATCCTTTGGGATATTTATTACATTGTCTAAAGTCCTTTTAGAAGAAAAGAGTGATAGAAGAAATCCTTAGTAATTCCAAAGAATCCATTTTTTATGAGAAGGAAGATAGCTATAGTGATGATTTTAACCAATCTGATGAGAACAAGAAGGCAGCTGATCAAGAAGGTAAGCTTTTGTGTATATATTCCACCCAGATTTGAGTTAGTGCCACTTTTGTCTTTTGCTAGCTCACATTAGAATTTTATATAGCCCTACCAGCATCCAAAGAGATTGCTTTCCAATCTATTCAAGAAGACACTGAGGTTCAGATCCCTCCTGATATTTCCACACTAGTGAAATTATATGTCCAAAAGCTATTTGGTAAAGCCTTTCTGATTTTTTAACTACAAAATTCTTAAGAATAATTTTCTATATTTGTATTTCCTCAAGACCTTCTTAACAATATCACTCGAGAGCTCTGATGCCAAGAATTAGGGTACATCTGGAGACTTCTGGCTGTTTTGCTAAGACTTTAACCACTAAACTCTCTGTGGAGAGGGAGTACAGGCTAACATTGCATCTTTAGAGATTTCGGAACAGAAACCAAACCCAGATATTTCTAGTTCAGCCACATCCAATCTGCATTCGCAGATCAAGGCTAAGCCAATGATCAACATCACGAACCTCTCTAATCAACCACCAGAGGTAAGCACAATTTAAACAAATACTGTAGGGGAAAGAGAAAGAAGGTTATAATTAAAGCTAGTGGTAAGGAAATATTGATAGCTACATTTTTCTATGAACTTACTATATGAAATACTCCTCAATAGCCAATAGTATTTTATAACTGTAAATCCTTGGGAAAAATTGTTTTTACTCAAAAAATTTTATTACCAAATCGAATAAAACTCTCCATCACCTCTAAACCACTCAAACACTTATATCAGCAATTCTCACCCATAAACAACTTAACTTACCCAATATAGACTCAAACAGCCGTACTAAGACATCCCAAATCTATGACAAAGGTATAAAACAGAATGTTCAGAACTACATCAGTACTCAAAAGTAAGCTCAAAATCCCAATCTGGAGTAGAGCTGAGGTCAAAATCGAGGCAAATGAGCAAGGAGAATCCATATTCCACGATAAAATTACTATTAAGCAGAAATAAACGTAAAACAGGTAGGACTAAAGTAGTAATCATGCTTTAGGGAGCATGAGACATACCCGGACAGAGATCAAAGAGAAGGAAGTCAAGCTGGAGGATATCTCCACTAATAAGGAAATTCCTTCCCAGAAGCAAGTCAAGGTAAGCTTCAATGACTTATGACTACAGAATTCGGCTAATACTTCTAAGAAGAATATGCAGCTTAAGCAGCAGAATATTATCAATATTGATACCAGCAACACGAATATATTTGACGATCAATATTCTCGAACCAGTAAGGCCAAGGTAAGACTTCTGTGAAGGTCTCAGGCTCTATATGGTCAATCTGCTCTCTTTGTGTCCTAAAGCAGGTTAATAATGGATTATAGACTAAAAGAAATTTAAAACTCAAATTTGGGAAGAAGAATATCCGCAAGATTAAACCTGGCAAGCTGTTCAAATCAAAAGATCCAATCACTGTTTGAAGGAATAACATCCTTGATTCTGTGATTAAAGAGTTTTGCACAGAAATTATCAAAGGTAAATTAGGATTTTATTCATATCAATATGTAACTGTTAGATCTCCCTAAGGAAATAAAGATCAGCCATGGAAGACCGAAGCCACCTGGAACTACCACTATGACTCCGAGTGGTGCTTCTAGAGATATTTCAGTAGAAAGAAACTTGGTAAGTCTAGACATCTTGTCAGCCAAAGCTGATTTTATAGTCAATGCAAAGAAAGAGATTTCATAGAAGGAACTTTTCAAGACCAGAGTATCATTTATAACTAAAGAATATAGAGATAGAACTTTGCCTGTTATTGATCAGAAGCCAATGCGATTCTCACCTCCGACAGAGCTCTTCTCAGACCCAAGGATCCTTGATGAAAAATCCTTTCAGAGACTTAGACAGCAAGAAAGACAAAAGCAGGTACGACTGATCTGATAAGCTTTAGGTCCAAAAGTTAAGAGAGAACAACAGAAAGGCAGGCGGCTTCTCTGCCTTTTCTCCTATAAGAAGGCCAAGAATTAAACAGAATTACAAGCAAATCATCAATTTCTTATTCAGGAGCAAAACTACTAAGAAGGATCAAGACCTGATATACATTTACACTCAAAAACTTAAGCTCATGCAGGCTAAAATATCATAAAGTAATCAATTTCTAGCCAAATGTAGGGGTTTTGGGGTTTTGGGGTTTTGGGGTTTTGGGG